GCCCAGATTTGATCACATTCTTTTAGCCAATTAAGGAAACATCTGTTTCAATATAGCCAGCTCTGCATATCTCAGTGAACAGGGTTGATATATATTGTTCTTGAGTACCTGGAGATAATAGCTTCTGGGTGCCAAGCCCTTAGCCAGAAGTCTGGCAAAGTTATTCTACCCTCTGGAACTTCAGCATACTTATATGGGGAATCTCATCAGTGCAGAGGAAAACTGGCTATAGGATTTAGATGCAAGAACCACTGCAGCCTGGCCCAGAACTCAGAGCAACACTTCTCTCCAGGTGAGGGTCTGAATTTATCCCAGGAAAGCTGACATGGCACAATTGGAGGTTCCATCCCTGCTACCATTTCTGGGTTCAGGAGCTTCAGGAGGCACAAACCACAGTAGGCTTAGTAATGGCTTGGCAAAAGGAATTCTCAGAAAGCTGTGGACACCCATGCTGATACCTTTTATGCAGACAAGTCTTCCCCATACTACCTGTGTGTTTTGTCTGAATGGGTCTGGCAAAGTCCTGGGCTGTGGGAAGGCAATGCAAAACAGGTTGGATTTTTCCAGTCAGCTGCCTCCCACACTATGGGTGATGCCACTTCCTTGTCATCTTCCTACCATTGTCAAGGAACCTTGATACGCAAATGGTGGTTTCACACACTTCTAACCTTTCCCACTCAGAATCCACTCCTGTCACTGGGCCTGTCCCCAACCTATCCCGACAGGCCCACTTAGGCTTCTTGGTGCTTGGCACCATCATTCAAGCCTTGGAGCATCCAGCAGAGGGTGTCATTCACTGAAGGGGGAAAGGGTCCTTCATTCTAACCCTGCCAGTATTTGTGAGGCACAGGGAGAACTGCGGAAATCAGTGGAAAAAATCTCTCCTTCTCCAGCATCTCATGCTGGAGGTGAAATGACATAAAGAAAGCATTCTCTATGCAAGGAGTGGTGTTAGAAGAGATGGAAAACAGATGTACAGCTGTGAGCAGACCATAAAATACTCGCCCTGCTTGTGGCTGGGGTCAGGAAGGGAGGAAGCAATTGAGTCATCTGACCATTCATTCATACAAGATAGAGTTATCTGATCCTGATTGTTGTGAAGGTAGATGATGGACACATTGTGTCTACCATGTGTATCTTCTTCTACCCCATAGCAGGCCCACTCTGGTGTACCCTTCAGGTACTCTGAATCTCTCGCAGGGATATGTCCATTCAGACCCATGGTTCTCTTGTTGCTGCTTTCATCTCTTCCACGTCTTTTCTTCTGCCTCTGTAAACCCATGAGAGCCCCACCCTGGCCCCAGAACAGGATAGTAACTTCATCTCTGTAGAGTGCTATGGTCCAGGCCCAACCAAGGTCTTGGTCAGCTCTTAGGCCAGTTTCTTCACTGCTCCACTCACTGGCAAGCAGCCAAGCAAAACCTTGCCCAGGCTACCGTTTGAACCTGGCAGGGAATAAGCAGACTGTTGGGTAGCCAGGGAGTGATGCTGAGTGGGCAGCAGTCCTTTCAAGCCAGTGGCCAAGAGGCAGGGCATGGCCACTTCCCCTCTGTTCTGGCTCTTTTTGGCTTCTTCCTAGTGCATGACATGACTCCTGCAGACTCTGTGTGATATCAGAAACCCTCTCCTAAAGCTGGGAGTGCCTATGTCCACTTACTTTGCAGTCCCAGGTCCACAGAGACTATTGGAGGAGTAGAGTGGGGAGCTCGAAGCTGTAATTGGACAACCTTGGAGGGCTGTTGCAGAGGTGTACAAAGAGTTTTTTTCATCACTTTCCTGGTCCCAGTAGCTAGTGCCCACAGCTTAAAGGAGGAGATACTTATTTTGGCTCACAGTTTCAGAAGTTTGAGTCCATGCTCAGCTGGCTCCAATGCAAAACAAAGTAGTAGAAGGGTCTGGGCAGAGGAAATCTGATCAAGTAATGATCACTATGAGTAGGAAGAGAAGGGAGGAGCCTGGGAGGGTTCAGGGCATGCCCCCAGTGACCCACCACCTCTGACCACACTCCACCTCAAAATAGCAAGTCAGCTTTAGCACCCTATGATCCAAGAAACTTTTAAACACATGAGGCTTTTTAGGGACAACCCAGACCTAAACCTTAAGAAGGAGGATCTCTATAGATGGGGAATTGGATTTAACTTTAATGGAGCTGAGGGGAACAGCTTGAGCAAAGGCGGGGAGGTCTGACTATAATCTCCATCCTGAAAGCTCCTCCTTGCCCGTGGAAGCACTGTTCACTGCATCCTTTTCCAGGTTCCTCACCCCCTTATAATTCTGTTGTGTGGGTCTCCATCCACCACTCCATATTCTATCATGGTTATTTTATTGGAACACATTGGAGACTGTGGCACTTCTAAAGGACTCACTCTTCTACTTACCCTTCCTCCACCTGTGGCTTCCCTGTGGCCCTATCCCAAAAGATGGAGTACACTGTCCCTTTCCACTTGGCAATCATTTAACAGAACTTGTTGGTTCTAACGCCGTGCACCCTGCAGGGCTGCCAGGACTATCTCCAGGAGACAGCTACGCACGGTGCCTCTTGGTTACAGACCTATGTCCAAGAGATTCTGACTCAGAGAGTCCTCCCAGGAGACAACCGAGACAGAAGGAAGTGACAGCTTGATTTCCCAGGGGAAGTGGTTTGGGCTGAACCTCATGCAGCCTCTAGTGCTCACTGACAACCAGCCATGGTCTCTTCACACAGCCCCTAATGGTCTCAGGCTTACAGAGCTCCATGTTCCAAGCAACCCATTTAGGCACTTTCTAGGAGGAACCATAGCTGAGTCAATTGGAATAGTCAGCACAGAGCAGGGGACAGGGATTCATCACCTCTAACCAATCAACAAGGCCAGTTGTTGACTCAGTTTTTCCTGTCCAACCTTTGTTGCTCCAATGCATTGGCCCCAGCCCCTGACTGGCCAGCTGTTTCCTCTGCCCTTAAGTCTCTTGCACTAATTACTAGCTGGTCTGTGGCTGCTGAGAGAGCCCCAGCTACTCTTAGCTCAAGGTCATGATTCAAACACCTAGTTGTTACCTGGACAGCACCCACCATGCTCTTTCTTAACCCCAGGGGTGCTGTCCACTACTGCTAGAGTGAAGGGTCCCATGTTCCCAACTACTGCATCATTTTAATAAGCCCTGACATTGATGATGGTCAAAGTAATAGTAAAAATGTATAATGAAGAAAAGTCTCAAGAGTATTGCGGGGTGTTTTGAAAAGTTACCTATATAGAGAAATGCAGCAAAAGAGAGACACAAGGAGAAACAGAGAGATAAACAGAAGGTGCAGACACAGGCAGAGAGAGAGAGAAAGAGAGAGAGAGAGAGAGAGAGAAAAGAAAGAGAGAGAGAGAGAAAAGAGAGAGAGAAAGAAAAAAAGAAAGAGAGAGAGAAAAAGAAAGAAATAAAGCAAGCAAGCAAGAAAGAAAGAAAGAGAGAGAAAGAGAGAGAGAGAGAGAAAATCCAGGGAAACATCAGCAATATGATATCACTACACATCAATTCAATCAAATCAAATTTAAGACCCAAGTCCAAATCTTGGTGAGGATATGAATCAACTGGCCCCATCATATATGGCTGGTGGGGATGCAAAATCATGCAGAATTTTCTTTAAAGGTAAATACAAATTTGTCATATGACTCAATAATTTCCCTTTAACTTCTTTACCCCAAAGAAAATGAAAGCATGTGTCCACACAAGATATGTCTGAAAGTATTCAAGGTAGCTTTATTAAAAATAGCCAAATATGGAAATCACTCAGATGTGCATAACTGGGAAGTGGACGTGTGTGGTATCACCCTACATGAAATGCTACTCCTCAATAAAAGGAGAGAAGTAAAGCTTGAATCACAAAAAAAGTATGTTAAGTGACAGAGCCAGTGAAAAATGGCTCCTTTTGCATGATATTTCAGAAAGAGGAAAGTATAGCAACAGAAAGAAGTTAGAAGGTTGCTAGGGAGAAGGGTGGATGGCAGTGATGACTTGTACAGGGCCACAAGGAAAGTTTTTGCAGTGAAAAAACATTTTGACCGTGATGTGCTGGTAGTTGGATTTCTCACAGATTTATTCACATTTACCAAACTATATGGCTAAAATGGATGAACATAATTATATATAAATTATTTCATAATAAATCTCTTAAAAATAAAGATAACTACTCAAATCTAAGAAATATCCAGGTAGGGACATTTTCAATAATTGGCAAATTCAGTGGCTGATATTGGCAATCTCTAAGTGCTATGTTTTTCAAGCTTGTGTCAGTCACATTCATATGTTGAAACCTAAACTCCAGCATGATGTGAATAAAAAGGGAGGGGCCTCAAGAGGTGAAAAGATCATGAGGGCCGTGGCTTTCCTCTTTTACCAAGGGAGGTCACAGTGAGATAGTGCTTCTGTGAGCCCAGAGAGCAAGGCCTCACCAGACACCAAATCTGCTGGAATTTTGAGCTTCATTTTCCAGCTTCCAAACTGTATTTATAAGGTTATGGTATTTTTATTATAGCAGCCTAAAGGTACTTAGACCCTATGTTTTGAGCAGTTAGGTTTTCTATTGGAGCCTTACAGATCTGAGAACATAGGGGGATTTCTGAAAGGTGGTTTGGGATTCTGACATCCAAGTGAGGGCAAACTTCCCAAAGATATCTTTCTTAAAGTGGGGAGAGTTTGGGGGTTGTGAGGAGAGGAGAGACAGAGGAGGAAGAAGGTGAGGTGAGGAGTTTCCCAGGATGAGTGGGCTGTGGAGGAAGGTGGGTGGCCATTGGGAATTAGCCACCCATTACTTTTTGGGGTTGTAATTAGTGCTTCTACATGAGGGGACACATGGCAAGGTTGGCATGAACATTATGCAATAGGTTCTTCACAAGTGTCGACTGAATGCATGGACACAGAGTTGATAAATGACTACACAAAGGGAGAGCCACCTGGAGGTCCTCAGTGGGCAAGTAGCACCAGATACAGACCAGACCTCATTCAAACTTGCCCTATCCCACCCACATAGGGAGCTAGACCTCTGTATGCCTCTCTTCAGCTACCTTTAGTTCCTAGATCTTCTGGGAGCAGGGACTTTGTCCAGAACTTCAGCCCAGGGGGCTGCAGAGCATGGTCCACAGCAGACTGGACATGCAACTGAGGTACAGCTTCTTGTACTCCACTATAGGCCAGTGCGGCAGGCCCTAGGCACTAAGGTTCCTCTGAACACACCATCCCAGAGGGAAGGGGCCAGTCTGAGGCCTGTAGAGCTCAGGCTACAGCACCCTGATTTGGGTCAGGCCAGGCAGCCAAACTGGCCAGGGGATCTGGGTGATGAGGATGGGAGTTTCTGAGGTAGGAAAACAAGGGCCTTCCCTAGTATCTTCTCCATGTGGTGGGGAGGAATAGTCTGTTTTCCCCTCCTTCTAAGAGGCAGGCTGTGACTGAAACATAGCTATGCCTCAACATCCAGGCTACTTGGAGAGGGATGAATGACTGGTACCCACATGCCCCTCTCTGTCCATGTCCATGTAGGACCTGGAGTTGGGAGGATGTTATCATGTCAATAACCACATACATATACTAATGAGGTCACCACAGACAACCACCTGATGTTTGTGGCTACTGGGAAGCTGTGGTAGGGGGACAGTCAGTCTCCCATTTGGAGCAAAGTTGGCCCAGTACTTCATCATCTTCTTACCCACAGCTTCTCCTTGTCACTGAGGTTAACTGCACAAGAGACAAGGCCAAGGGCCCAGGTCCTCAATGACCTGCTGCTCATTCATGCATCACATTCACCACTTAGCTGCAAGCCAACCTTGGAACTCAAACCTGGTCCCTTCCTCTTTTGTATACATGGAGTTAGGCCCTCTCTTTGTTCACCTTTCCCTTCCTCATCCACCCTCCAGATAAGTGATCCTGGGGTGGTTCCTGGCCCACAGAGCCCCTCCTTTCTGTGAAGGATCACAGAAAGGGACATGTTCCGGGAAGTCATTCAAGAAACATTCAAGTGTGACCTTTGAGATCCCCTGCTCTGTACCCAAGCTGGATTCCTGTCAGAGTGGGGTCAGTGTGGAGAGAGCAGAAGGTGGAGGGGATATGCGCAGATTCTAGTTCCAGTACAGCCTTTTGAGCTGTAAGATGCTATATGTAAGCCTCAGATTCTCTATCTGGATGGTGAGGAAAGTCCCCCAACTGGTACTGCATTCCAGCTTCTCAGATCAAGGAAGACTCACCATGGTTGTGATGATAGGGCAAGAGAGACTCCATTTTCTGTGTTTAACTCCATATTAAGAGAATTCACTTAAAGTTCACTTAAGCTATAGTTCATCCCAGTCACCTTGGTTAATTATAAACTCAGAGCAGAGCAGAGTCATAAAATGGGAAGAAAACAAACAGGACAAATTAGGAAGTGGGCTAAAAGTTAAACTGCAATGGTCATTTGGAATTCAGCTGTCTGATCTTCTGGGAGAAGTAAACTTTGTGATAATTGTGTGGCATTCTTGTGAGATTCTCAAAAATGAGGTAATGGTTACTATGGAAACCTAAAATGTACTTACACTGAAGGTGAGACCCAGATCAGCGCGGACATCTTCTTTGGCTCCTGGTTAGAAACTGTCTGTCAGCAGGCTAAAAAAGCTTTGTTCGTTCCTGCTTTTTTGGTTTTCTTGTGAGTGCCTTTCTTGTTGAACTTGCTTGCTGTATCAGTGATAGTAGGGGGCTCTGAATTAAAAGACAAAATCATCATGAAGTTTTGCTGTTATCGTGGGAAGGGTGTTGATATAAAGCAGAGCTCAGAGAGAAACAGCCTCTGTCTCCCTCCGTAAAATATTCCCAGCTCAGGCAAGCAATTCCTCAGGCAACTCCTTCCTCAGACTTAACATTTTTTCACCTAGGTGCTATGCTTTTCTCATTGATAAGAGAGACATTTCAGGCAATTCTCTCACCTTTTCCCTTAGAGGGGTAATACTGGAGTCCAACACTGATAAAACTAATAAATGGGGTTATAAACAAGCTGCACAGATCCTAACATCCTGAGATACACAGGATGTGTTTTCTTTTAAGGCTAAGATACAGTTAGCTGCTAGGATGACTAACTGCCTTTGTTTTGCTTCTACATCTCTACTTGCTTGATGTCACAAACTGAATAAAAGAGGACTTCTCTTTGGTTTGGGGCTCAGCCTAGTTTTGAGCATTTTTAATGGCTTGGAAAATTCACTGCTAAAGTCCTCCTGAAAAATCCCTCTGGTGTCTCCAGTTTCTTGGAAATTCCACAACAGATATACTTGAAGAAGTCAGGGTGATATTGGAACTCACAAAAGTAGAGAGAACCATGGGAACCGGGGAACATGGGCATGCCATGCTCTGGTGGGACTTCACCTGGAGCTCTCCTGTCTTACCACTGGTGACAGTATACCTAGGTCCAAAGGTTGCTGGAATCTGGGGTGTGGGATGGTGAGCCCCAGGGTAAAGAAAAGACAGCAGGAAAGGTCTTGGATAAATTATGACCTTGGATTTCCTAGGTAAGAAGTTTGAGCAGCTTACTAAGTGGTGCTAAACTAAATTTCCTTATTTGTACCAAGAGGGATGGGCACTGTCTCTTTGACTACTACACTAGCAATGAGGAGTTGCTGAGATAAGGGGAATAAATGCCTGGTTGCACAGATTCAACAAAGCCGTGGATGTGGACCTGGATACCACACATGACACCCAGGACCCACAGCTCTAGTTACCCAGTAGGCAGTCAGACCTCAGCTGTAAATGTACTCACCCTGGAAGTGAGCTATTTCGATTATGGGGATAATGAACATAAAGTCACTCATCATCTCTTAAAACTAGGATTTCAGAGTCTGCTTTCCTGATTGTTTTCCGATTATTCTTCCTTCAACAAATTGCCAGATACAACAGGCAACATGTCATTTGAGGTGGAAGAGGGAGAGTCAGGTAGGCAAGCTCCAGGGTGGGGAAGTAGCAACCCTAGGGTGCCTTTTCTTCTCCTTCTTTTACCCTCATCTTCCTCATCCTCCTCTTTTTCATCCTCTTCTTCCTTTTCCTCTTCCTAGTTCTCTTTGTCTCTCTTTCTTCTCCTCCCCCTCTTCTTCCTCTTCCACTTCCTCCACCTCCTTTTCTCTTTCTCATTTTCTTCTCCTCCTCTCCTCCTCCTTTTTCTTCCCCTTCTTCTTCTTCCCCTTCTTCTTCCCCTTCCTCTTCCCCTTCTTCTTCTCCCTATCCCTCTCCTTCTCCTTCTTCCTCTTCCTCTTCCTCCTCCTCTTTCTTCTTCTTCTTTTCTTCTTCTT